ATTTTTAAATTTTATTAAAAATAAATAGATAAAAAGGGGAACACATACTTTACATAAAACATTTAGTTGCTTCTAAGTGATACTTCCTGAAACCAAGTAATTTCCAGTTAGAAAAAATTGTTTTGCTGCAAAGATGACAGGAGATCACCAAAACTGTTGCCCTCATTTTCTTCTGAGAAAGCACCTTTCAGGAAGTGAGGTCATTTTTTCCAGCCTCATGCCTAAAAAAAGGTGCTGTGTGCTGACAGAGTACTGCTCTGTTAGAGCATCTTTGACAGGATGTGTTATGGCACTCTTTCTACTGCAGGAGTTGTAGAAGGATAAATCCACATATTATGTATAAAATGCACCCACAAATGTGGCAAGGAACAAAGCAGTCCCTTTGGTTTTTGAAGACTCATCTTGCCCAGAAGCATAAAGCCTGGTTTGTGTGCAGCAGTGTAGCAATTCTTTAATACAAAAAATGGATGCAGCCCAAACCACAAAAAAACCACCCTTTTATATGTTGTGTTGCTAATTGAAACAATTTGCCATGCTTTATTTATGCTGATGGAACAACACGCCAGAAGTTTTTAAGTCCCTGTAAAAGGACTGTTTCTTCCTCCAGGCTAGATCAGTTTTCCATACCAGAATTCCTCAGTTTCCAAGAAAATTAGGTAACCCCTGCTTACCTAATTGCTGTGAAGCTACACTGCATGAAAGATAAACCAATCACTGACCTGGATGTAGGAAACCATTTACACTCAAGGTATAAACCCTATAGTTTTTTTGTTTGTTTCCAGCTTCGGAGTTTTCAGGGAGGCAGATTTGCTCCCACCTTTCTATACTCCACAGCCTGCCAGGTGAACATGTGTACACGGGTGAGTGTTACGCAGTGTTCTGCTTTCTCCCCACCCTCCAACAACATTCACACATTTAAATGGATTCTCTGTCACACTCACAGGTATCCCAGGGTAGTTTCTTCAGAGCAATATGATTTTTTTCCCCCACCCCCTAAGGTTAAGTAGTTGAAGTCTCACTATTAGTTGGGTGTCAACAACAAAAATTACTTTTTTATTTCCTACTGGTGCTCTACAAATTTTGTTGTAATCAAAAAAAACTGGTACCTTGACTCTTGATTTATCTGGAAATTGCATTAGACTATTCGCAAACATGCTTAAAAATAAAGCAATTACAGATTATTCTGATAGCTCAAGATTGTCCAGACATTACAGATTCAAGCCCAAGAAGCAAGAAGTATCTTTTCAGCTTTGCTGGTTGGGCAACAAAACCCTGAGCTTCCCTTTGCTCTTCAAAAGCAAATTACATTTGGGCCAGGAGTTTAGAAACTGCTGTCCTCCTCTGGACCCCCACCTTTCAATTAAATGGTTAATTAGACTTAGAAATTTTCACTTTTAGGTGAAGACCACTGCATAGGAATTATTCTAGGATGGCACAACTGCAGTAAAGATACAAATGATAAGCACTTTCATTTTCATTCGTATTAAGTGACAAGGGCCTAGAGACTGGACAATCCTCTCTGAGTTTCCCCATGCCTTCCCAGAGTAGATGTGATTAATTAAGCCTAGAATCCATTCCCAGCAGTTACTGGGATCCTCAGTAGTGAGGAATTCAAACAGAATTTTCTGTGCACATTAAACTTGCCCCAAAATGAATTAAAGAACAATAAACCAAAAGAGCAATCAGTATGTACCGATTCCACGAGCTTTTATTTAGAACAAAATGGACTTCACACATTTTCATAAGGGTCACTTCTGGGCTGAAGAACTAGTCATAAGATGTACTGTTATGCTATTATCCCTGAAAAGAAAATTTTGAATTCCACTGTGTGTGTCAGTTGGAGATGAATAAATTATAAACATCACGGCCCTACTGAGAAGCCCCTGAGCTATTTATCTTTATATGAAAGCTTCAAATATTTTACAACCCTTATCCTCAATGATCTAAACAAACACCTGTAACACACAAAACTGTAATTAACAGCATATCACTGGCTACACAAGAAAAAGAACACTCACAGTCAGCAGTACGATATCCCAGGAAATTAGATTATCTAGAAACCTATTTCTACTGTCTAGAGTGATGGTGGAAGTCAGACATCAAAATACTTGAGGCCGAAGCCACACACATACACATGAAGATACACTAGTTACTTCAGCTGGCAGTAGTATTATTTTTCATTTATTAAAAAAAAAAATACACAACTTTCTCTTAAAGAAAAGCAAACTGGAATCTGTGCCTGAGCTCTTACTCTAAACATATGAAAATAAGCACAGTAAAAGTCAACTTTAGACTAGAAAACATCTGTAAGGTTTATATTGCCATAACAAAAGCTGAGTTAAAAGAGAACAAATTAAAATACCCATCATATTCTCATCATAACCATCATATTCTCAAAGATCAAGAGGTTGTGAACAAAAGCCCGATCTCCATCATGTTTTCTTCAGTTGGTTAGAAAGAACATGAACTAAAAGAAGTCCTCCAAGCAACTTCAGAAACCTTGCTAAGGGGAAGAGAAAGCCTTGAGTTTCTCTTACAGACTTCTCATTCCAATAAAACAGAAGTGAGGAACACTGAACACACAAATGCATAACTGGACTACTACGACAAAAAAATGTATTGTGGCAATTCAGTTACCCGAGAAAAACAGAAATCAGTATTGATACAAAATCTTTTTAAGTTATCAAATGACATTAAAATTACCCAGTACATTTTGAAATATGTGATCCCAGTGAGTAATCTGATATCTAGGAATACATGCTTCCATATTAAAAGTGATAAAAATAAGCAGGAAGACACCTGAAACAATAAAAGGCATTTTTAGCTGGAATTTGTTTTGCTATACGCTACAGAAAGCTGCATCAGATATGACATTATACTGAACCTTGTAGTGGTTCCAAGCAGTATAATGGTACACACTGTTAAATACACACACTTGACCAAATAAATAGTCAATTTGCCAGCATAGTTAGCACAGGAAGAAATCCACATTTTTTTCTTAATGTAAACAGTAAGGTTTCTAAAAAAAGACATTTTGATTTTAAGTATTATTGTATTTTTAACCTTACTGCATGCAACACTGTTGAAGTTTTATGTCACCTCTGTGCACCACTAGGCAAGAAACAGTAAGATACTTGGAGAGAAATCCTCCAGTCGTTGAGTCTAGTGCTGTGCACAAAATCACAAACATCCTCAGTAAACTGCACACCTGGACAAGACAGATGTTTGTACATAAAAGGCAACTTTATTTATATACCCGTAATCCTCTGCATAAAGATCTGACCCTCACGTCTTAAAAGGCACAGGTTTTTAGAAAGGCTACAGTGAGGGGCACCTAAAACGGAACCTGTAATTTACCTGATTTCAAGAGCTGCCTTTCGAAGGCAGCTAAACAACTGAACTGCAAGTCCTGCCAGAAATCAAGAACCATCCCCACCATCATTTCAACACTTAAAACATTTAGGCATGCCTCATGGATTCATTCTCATTCTTTGCATTTCAGAGAAACCACCTGCTGGAAACAACAGTTTCCTTTACCCTGTTTTTTAATCCTTAGTAATAGGTGAAGTGAAAAGCACTAGTAAACAGCTGAATGACCACATCGTTATTTCTTCATTGAATCGTTACTCTTAAACCAAAAGTTCAAGTCATTAGTGGAATGTGAACGTCACAGGCATCTGAACATGAGTGCAAATAGATTTCTGAAACTGTTTGCAAGAACTGAAAAGCAAGAAAATAGCCTTTGATGTAGGCTCATGTGGTACAACCCAAGTATAACAACATCAGTTGAAAATTAGAGAAAACCCATAACTTATTTTCCAAAGTAGAAGAGTCCAAGCTCAAGTGATCACACTGATTTAGAGACACGGAGCTCTTCCAGGTGGCCTACATGGTCTTTCACTACACTTACATAGTCACTATCATGCTAAATATGATAAATTTTCAAGCTGCAAGTGGTGGAAAGGACAGTGTCCCCACCTGTGCTCAGATATTAGCAGATTGCTTAGATGTGTGCAACCTGGAGCTGCCTTGAGACAGTGATGCAGCCTGGATCTCCTATGAGTCACCAACCAACACTCAAACAAATGGCTTTGAGAGGAGGAAATACTGGACAGAACACTCTCCCCACTGCTAATGGCCCCAATTTTAAGCTGGCAGTTAGGAATTAAATTTCCTTATGCCTTTTTAGTAAAAAGCAGAAGTGTACCTTTGGCACCTGTTTCACAACCAGAAGTGCATGCAGTCCTGGAATGTCCCGACTGATATCGAGTTTGCTAGATGTTCATTTTAAAATTGAAAGCTATCAACAGCTGAAGTTAAAAAAAAAGACATAAAAGAACCAAAACCACACACACAAAACAACACAACATCAAAACATATTTAAAAATAACACTCCTCTTCAGTATTTTTTTCTCCTAGACCACCATCCTTACACTTGTGTTTCCACAGAAAACTGCTATACCTGGTATAAAATTATTCCACTAAACCATCCTGTTCTTTACTTTCCAGCAAGGGCATACTTGTGTCTCCCTTATCTTTTTCATTTACGTCTCCATTGTCCTCCAGTTGCCCTGATTTCTGATG